ACAGAGAGTCAAGATAGTCTGGACAAGGTCCAGCGCTGGCGGGGTCTGCCTATCTTACCATGGCAACCTTGGGTCAAGACTACGATCCGGGACAAAGAAAGAGCCAAGAGCTATGCGCAGGCGGCTCTCCTCTCCGGAAATGCCATCTTTACCGATGGCTCGGTGGTCAAAGACCGTAAGACCGGTGCTGGAATGGTGGTATATCGTAAGGGTGTAGAAGTTCATTCCAACTACTGGAAACTCTCTCCTTACGCTACTACTACGGACTGTGAACTCCTCGGAGTTCTTGAGGCAGTTCGCTGGGTTATCCTGACGACGGAAGGAGAGGAAGAATGGGCAGTCTTCACGGACTCTCAAGCAGTACTCAAGATCCTGTCGTCGAGATCTACGGTGGCTCGGCGGGACAAAGCGAGACAGATCACTCTGCTCTTAGCTGAAATCCCGGACAAGGTTACCTTCCACTGGGTGCCTGGTCACAGTGGCATGTTTGCTAATGACCGAGCCGATGAATTGGCAGCCAAGGGTGCCTCCATGATGGAAGTCTCTGCGGAGACGGAAATCAGTGTGAAGACCCTTAGGCGTTATCAGGCCGAAGCCGGGCGTCTGGCACTGCGTAAGTGGTGGTCAGACAAACGGGCCGGTCTAGGCACTTGCGTCAATGACTTCTTCTACTGTGCCTCGCATGCGAGGCTATGGAGTCGAGGGGAAGTTACACCCGCTGGCAGTGCCGTGGTTTTTGGTAGGGCTCCCACTCCTGCGCATCTTCACAGGTGTGGAGTAATCGCTTCCCCAGAATGTGATTGCGGAGCTCCGATAGGGGATGTTAGACATCTCCTCCGTTCCTGTCCGCTCCTAGAGCATGCTAGGAAACGGGTCAAAGGTGGTGTACCCTATCACTTCTATAGAATGGTTGTCGATTTAAAGCGGCGCAAGGCCTTCAATCGGCTGTTTTTGGCCCTCATGCAGCATCTAGATGCTCGCAGGGGTTTGCTGTAGCTGCCACACATTCTCGGGCTGGTGCAGCTGTATATCGTTTCCAAGTAT